TCATCTTCTCTCCCCAGCAAGATCACTGTTCTATTTAAGCCAAATTTGATGCTTATGAGATGCCGTGTGAGCTTGCTGAATATTCATTTGCAGCTCTCTTCATCAAGTGCTGTGTTCCCTTTTATTTGCCTTTGACTTATAATTGGCATTTTTGCATATTTATGATCTGCTTGGTTTGAAGCTGATGACCTGTTTCAAATGCTATATTATCTCCCTGACCCTTCGACCCTGCGTGGTGAGCTCCTACAGAAATCATCTCCTTAAGTGACAGCATCCTGATCATTGCTGGGGTAGCACCCTCCCCACAGCTCGCACGCGTGCTGCCTGCCAACCTCCGTGCACGTTACGGTTCGCAGCCCTAACATAAGGTTAAGAACCAGACTATGGAACTCCTTAAAATGCATAACATCTCAGAACCACGAGGGACCTGAGTGGCCACCTAACCCACATGATAACTGCTCAAATGTTCCACGTCAGTGAACTCACACACTTACACGCTCTCTTCCCAGGTGAAATAATCCTCAGATTGTTCACCCTTGGTCACTTGATCCGGCTGGGAGCAGCTTGAGCCCCAGCTGCTTTCCTCCAGGCACAAACAGACATGCACATGGCCAGCTAGATGCTCCATGGGCAGGTGGATTCCACAATGCAGCCGCTTAAAATAACTTGAAATGATGGAATCTCTTTATAGCATAAGACACAACTGCTTTATAAAGAAAAATAATGTTAGCTTCTTACAAAGTAACACACATGCCTTTAGATTTTCTTTAGCAACACCTTCCCAATGCCCTAGTAGAGGGTGGATCACACGACAGGAGCCTGACGAGACCTGGGTGAGTCGGGCCAGTGTGGTGGGTGCAGGGACAATCTCGAGAGCCAGGGCTGGCCAGGGGCCTGCCGTCACTCACGCCCCTTCATTTGTTAAACCTTTGTTTCTTTGCCTGTAAAATGAAGTGATAAAACATGTCCATCCTCCTGGTCGTTTTGCTCTTTGGACTCTTGCAAGGAAGTTTGGAAGGTCAGTGGTGATCCGTGGGGAGGACGCACGATCACAATTTGTCGGTAGACACAGCCTGCTCCCAGCGCAGAGTCATCACTCACGCGGCTCCTGAGACGCACGGCGAGCGTCGACGCGTCGCCCCGCATTATGTGAAGTTAAGACGGGAAAGTGGGGTGCCAGAGGTGACCAGGCTTCTGTGACCACTTCTCGGCTCCGGCCAGTTTGCACGGATTTTGAATCACATGCTGTGCTTGATTTCGAGGCCGGGTTTGAATCTTCGGGGTAAATTTTGAGGGCTGTTTTTGCCTCAGACGATTTGTTTTCTCCTGAGACCTCTCGCGGTCGGCTCAGTGTCCTCTCCCGTTTTCTGACAGATGTGAGAGAAGCTAAACGAAGCAACAAGTTGGAAGAGGACGTCGAGACAGTGTGATGTTATCCGACAAATCCCACACTGTGAAAATAGGATTTTTCGTGTGTTCTGCTTCACGGTCTTCTAGAAAATTAAACGCTTTGATATGATTTTTGAAAAGAAAACCTTAGCCACGTCACTTCCTTGGTGGTGTCGATTTTATACAAAGTCATTATATGAATGTACCTTTTGAAAGAAAAATACTTTAGGACGTCAGTCAGTATTTATAAATGTGTGTAGTTATTAAAACTCCAGGGCTCATGCTATGAACCTTGCATACGGCATTTTGGAAATGATTGCAACTTGATTAATTTTTTTCATCAGAAAAGAAATACTATTTTCTACTTGGCGGTAAAACTCTTAGTTGTTTATTTCTTAAGGATTTTTCTATCTAAATAAGTACCGGTAAATGCATTCTTTCTAATTCTCTATAGCCAGGAATACAAGTTACTTGAAGAATAAGTAACGAAGAATCCAGAATGATGACCAAAAGAAAGCCTTTCTTTAAGTGCCATGACAGTGCTGAGTTGCCCGCACACCGTGTCAGGGAGAGACAGCATTGTCCTAGAAGAGCCAGGGGCGGCCTGGGGACAGGTGGCGGTGTCATTCAGTTCTGCTGCTTGCGTTGGCTTTTATTTTGGAGGAATTAGCTTACTAAAATATTTGCGTTTTTGCTTTGAAGGAATATTTTAGGGAGAAGAAGAAAAGGCTCTCATCGATCATCACTGTTATTTTTATTATTATTTCAGCTGCACCTAATAAGCGAAGAGATAGCATTTGCTAATTCTGAGCTGTCTGGTTTGTGTTGGCACTTCCCATTGTCTGCATGCTTTGGTGAGCTGTTCTTCAGAGCAAATCCAGCAGTGGCAAGATCTGAAGAACCCTGAGCAAAGGAGATGGCCATTTTCCAGAAGCCACGTCTGCCGAGGCTTTATTAACCGTGCTCCCTGGGTGGGCACGGCACTCAGATTCACGCGCATCAGCTAGCGGACCCACCCTCAGCCAGGAAGCCAGGAAGCTGGCCAGGATCTCCCTGTGCTGAGGTGGCTGCTGTTCACAGAGCTGACGTGTGGAGAGCGTGGGAAGGGCAGGGTCCCGCATTGGGAACGTCTGGCCACCTGCCCCCATGCTCCGGGTGGGTGCACACCTGCCTCCCGCACAGACCACACGCATGTGTCACACGTGCATGTCATGTGCACACACCACACCGCGACACACGGCAATGTACACCACACACATGTCACATGTGTGAATCACATGCAGCATGCACACGGGCTTATATAACAGACAGTGTACACATGTATATCGCATACAATCATAGGTGTGTCACAGACACATAAGTGTCACATAAGTATGGGCACATCACACATACAAATCACACACACCATACACACCATGCAGACCTTACATGCATGTCATGCACACACGTATCATGTATGTGTCATACAAAAAATCGCGCATACCACACATATATGAATCCTGTGTGCACATATCACATGCTCATCATGCACATGCACAGCGCATGGTACCCACAGTTAAGATTTCGATCATCCACAGTGCTGGTGGGCGCGTGGAATATGGATGCACACGAGGACACTTCCGGGGTGCTGGGAGAGTGGGTGAGCTCCAGGAGCTCCCGCCTCCAGGACCCGGGCTAGCTGGGACGCTGCGTGGGCCCCTCCTCGTCTGAACAGCGGCTCCCCGCACCGCCCTTCCCGCTTCTAACTCCGCCCGAGATGGGTTTCCTAGGGCCTCGGGAGGCTGATAATCAGCGCCCCCACTTCTTCTCTGTGTTCAGACCCATGGAGAGAGAGGTGAGAGCTTCGTGCGGGTGGAGGACAGATGTCGCCTTTGTCATCATTGCAAGTGTGTGGAGAACGTGGCTTCGGTCTGTGCCAGGGGGACTGGCCACTGTCCCTTGAGTTAGCCGTCTCCTGCGGAGCTGGGCATCGGGGCGTGGGGTGCACTGGGCTCACGGCTTGGCTGCGAACAGAGGAGATGAGTGTGACCCCTTTCCTAGAGGGGAGACCCGCTTGCTGCCGGGGGAGGTGGCTGTGCTGTGTAGAGGGAGGACAGGACAAGTCTCTGGAAAGTTCCATCACAGGGAACCTGGAAGACTCTGGGATAAAAATTCTCCAGTGGGGTTCAAGTCATAGCCACGCGCGCTCCCCACATCCGGTGACTGATGGGGCCCCCTGGGCTGTGCTCGTAGGACGCCGTCACGGAAGGGCACGGGCCTTTGGGAACCAAGGCCCAGCCTGTGTTGTTGAAGCCGCTACTGAACGGGTGGGTGGGAAGGAAGGCGGTGGCGGAGGGCGCCGGGGCGTTTGCCCTGGCGTGACCTTGTGTCCACGGCCAGACCTGTGCGTCTGGCCCCGGGCACAGAAGAGCGGACGTCGATCATCTGTTCACAGGTTGTCACCACCGTCTAAGGAGCGTGCTAGGTAGGCGCACACGCCGATGAGGCCATTGCCAAACACTTCCTCACGGCAGTTTTGCAACGTGTATCAAGAACTTAAAAAATAGCCATGGCTTTCGACTCGCTGTGTTTTATTCATCGAGCCCGCAGAAATGATTAACTGTGAAGCCACAGCTTTATACGCAAGACTGCCCACCGTAGCATGATGCAAACTCAAAAAAAAATATTAATAAAGTAAGCGTATGGCATAACTAAATGATGATAGAGTCTTAGAACGGAATATTATTTAAGTGTTCGAAATTCCATTTCCAAAGAATTTTTTGACCTGAAAATCCTGATTAAATGTTTGATTTAAAAAGCAAAGCAAAACATTACATTCAGGATGAATTCACTCATTTTGAAAAAAGGTAGAAGTCTTGGCAAAACAAAGTATGGCAAAACTTTTGAGGATACAGGGGATATGGAGTGGGGACAAGGCCACACGGGTGGCAGACCCTTCTTCTGGGAAGGACAATCATAGATTAGTTTTAGTTTTTCTTTGTTTTTGTTTTTTTCTGTTTTTCCACCAAACCTTTGTGGACACATTATTTTTATCATCAGAGGAGTAGTGACTTATCTGTTTTGAAAAGCTACCACATTTTTATATAAACCAAAGATGATAGGGAATATCACTTATCTAGGCACAGCAAACACAGGCTGGGTGTCAGGGCCACCTGGATCAGTCACCTAGTGTCGAAATGATGCTGCGTAACAACCACGAGATCTCGGTGGCCCACAGCAGTGAACTGCGGGCTATCGGGAACGGCTTCGCTCCGTGCATCTTTCGTCACTCAAGACATGCCAGGCCTTCTAAGCCTGTGCTGGCTCTGGCACAGGGTTACCCCCTCTCCCCCCGCCATCTTGCATTAGTGATAGCAAGACACATGGCTGAGCCCAAAGACGAGTGAGGGACTGCAAAGTCATCTATGAACGGGCGTGGATCTGAGAAGGATCTAGCATCCCCAAAGGCATTAGCGGCGTCTGTTCAGTACACACAAATGTTCGCTTGCGAACAAACGTAAAATTAGCTTCAGAGGCCTCCCTTGGAAGACGGTTGCTAGTGTTTCTTTGGATGCTGTCGCATCCGTCACTTAGACACACTCACCCTCCTGAGCAGCTCTCTCTGTCTTCAGATCCTGGCCAACGTGATCATCTTCATCTGCGGGAACCTGGCGGGTGCGTACCACAAGCACCTCATGGAGCTCGCTCTGCAGCAGACCTATCAGGACACCTGCAATTGCATCAAGTCCAGGATCAAGTTGGAATTTGAAAAGCGTCAGCAGGTAAAATGCGGTTTCAATCTCACTTTCTCGCTTTTGAGGTGTTATTAAAACGACGTTGTTGCTGTCCGCAGTGAGTATGCGGTTCCTTCGCTCACGGTCATTCGGCGGGACCCAGAGCAGCCCGTGACGGCCGTGGGCTGTGCTCTGGGGGTGTTGTCAGCCACAGAGCAGAGTTAGCATCTCCAGACTCTCACTTTCTCGCTTTTGAGGTGTTATTAAAACGATGTCGTTGCTGTCCGCAGTGAGTGAGTATGCGGTTCCTTCGCTCACAGGCATTCGGCGGGACCCAGAGCAGCCCGTGATGGCCGTGGGCTGTGCTCTGGGAGTGTTGTCAGCCACAGAGCAGAGCTAGCATCTCCAGACCCAGACCCAGGGACCCCAGCCACAGTGACTGCCATCACCATGTGGCTGGGGAACTTCAAATTACAATGACGGTAATCACAACCCTCCGTTAAGACACCGACTTTTGGTTACAGCCCATTTCTCTGTGGCTGCGGTACAGCGCTTCGTGGAGCGCCCGTCGTCCACACTGGGTGAAGTGATCAAAGTCATTCTTGAGGGAGATGATCGCGGTTGGGAGGGAGGGCCTCGCAGGGAACCAGGCATGGCGTCGGAGGCTGTCCTACCGTGGTCGCTGTGGGTGCTGCACAGATATGTCCATCAGGGACATACATGGGTTACGATACAGTCCTGAAAAAATAAGAAAGAGCGACAAGCCACATGGGGGAGGCAAAGCCACGTGGTATCGGGAGTGACGAAGAGCAGGTGGAACGGACGTGTGTGGAGGGGACATCGTCAGGACACGAGTGGTCCTGAGTTCCACGGGCTCAGCTTTGTGGACGGGATCATCACGTGAACGGGTCTGTTTCTCTGGCATCTGGATATTTATCGGCAAGAATCGGTGCCCCTCCTTCAAGGTAATGGTTAGCAGAGCCTTTGAGTGTCGATGCTGGAGTTTCGCCTGCGTGTGGACCGGTGAATGGTCCTCAGATTCCTTTTTGGAAACAGGAGTTTAGTTCATTCGTTTAAGCAGGATCGATTGAGCCCCTAGTTTGTGTCAGGTGTGATTCTAGGCTGGGACAGGGCCACGAACATTGCTTTCTCACTGGTATTCTTAGCAAACCTCACGGTTTGTTTTTTAAAACGCGTTTTGTGTTACAACATGCATAGCAAAGGTATTCGGCGATTAAGGTGTGATTCTTTGGTCTGTATGTATCTTAAACTCTGGATTCAACATTAAAAAGTATAGATAATTATTAACATGGAACCGTGATCCTATCTATATCGTCATAGTCCTATGTTCAGTGATGTTTTAAATCCGGGTTCTAGAAAATGCCACAGTTTTGACAAACGACACTTAATGTCCACAATTGGTCTCACTGTGGAGTTCGGTTGCTTGGAGATAGGTAGTTTCCATCCTCGAACAGACTGGACCAGGTTGGTCCTGACAGACATATTGCTCTTTCTTCTCCATTAATTCCAGAATCTACTTGAAAATAGCACTGAGTTTGCGGAGAACTGAAATTCCAAGTAGACAGGTTATACATACCTTATATTTATAGTACCGGCTTTGACAAAAGCGGTAAGTCAGGCTCCTGAGTGCACCTGTGCAGCGGACTTCTCTGAAGAGACCTCGAGTAAATAGCACCAGGTGTCACCCCTTGTCACGTGATCTGTGGCATCCAGGTGCTCAGACCAGCCCCGCTCTGACCTTACGCAGCTCCAGAGCTGGCCCCGTGTGGGGTCCTCTGTGCTAGATTGGGAGACGTTTACCAGAGATATTGGAAGGGTATTTACTAGTTTAAAAAAGGGGGCGCATGATCCTTTTCAAATAAGGAAAGAGAGAAGAGATATTTTGAAGAAAAATAAGATCTTTTACTAAGGCTGTTTAACAAATATATTTTATACTCAATGCTGGGAGCCAACTCCCGGTATCTGGTGCCCAGAATGTAGTCTCTTCCTCCTCAGACCTTCAGAAAATATGTTCTGAGAATTAGAATTAGTTAACAAGATCAATCAAGATACGTTCTGTAGATATAAGGAAACAAATAGAAGTCGCCAACGACGATCTGTGGGTCCTTCATGGAAAGGAGCAGACCCCGGGACCACCGTGCAGCCACAGACCAAATTAAGCTCCTCGCAGACAGTTTCAGATCCGAGGGTCCCACCTGTCCTTTCCTGCCCACTTTTCGCCACACATCACCCGCTCCGTCCGCGGCCACCATCGCAAATGGCGGTGTCATTCGAAGTGCTTCATTTAGGGGTCGGGTGCAGGCCGAGCAAAACAATTTGTTTCGGTCACTATCTGGATGGAATTAACACCATCCATTGCGATGTTATATAGATCCAGTGATCGGAGGAAGAAAGTACGTTGGAACAGAGAAAAACACACGCAGCATGAGCCAGGTGCGACTTGCGACGATGTTTTGTAGTTGTCTTCGCGCAGGCTCCTGCCAGGGGCCCTTTCTGTCCACAAGTCGCCAGGGGTCAAAATGTAGCAGGTGCTGAAGCGTTTACTGCCAGACTAAGTGACTCGGGGGTCCATCTTCCCGGGGAACCACCCCTGTCGCAGGCTCGTTCCTGCCGTCCTGACACTAGTTTGTGCATTCTTCGGTGGCAAGAGCTGCCTGTGAATTTATTATTTTTCTTTATATTCTTAGAACCTAGTGCAGTTCCTTGCGTGGATGAGGCAAAGAGACATGCTCTTCAATGAGGTGACAAAATACATAAATATATTCCACATTAGTTTTCTCCCTCTCTCTACGTTCAACCTGCACAATGCAACTATTAAATACATATGTACTTGTCGATTATCCTAAAACTATATCTTGCAACACTTTGGACGCCTCACGATTTCTAGCCACCCTTGGACACCTTCATGATGCCCCATTCACAAGTCTCGTCCTCGGTCTCTGCTGAATTGTGTGCAGGTTAAATGTGATCTCTGCACAGTCTATGCCGCATGCTTGTGTTCACCGAACCCGAATGCAGTCTCCCCATCACGAGCCTCACCTACGTCATTACTCACTGAAGGAACACTTGGTGGTGTTAAATCTTCAAAGAATAAACAAAGATAAATAACAAAAATGTCCACTCTCCATTCTCCCAGGCCCATATTCTTGTCCCCAAAATGTTCCAGTGTAATTTGGCCAAAGTATTTCTATGAACTTGCGTCACTTTAGGCTCATTGTCACGGAAGTGATCGGTAACCTTCCAGTAGGGAATGTACAGACGGAATATGTGTGTGCGTGTGTGTGTGTGTGTGTGTGTGTGTGTGTTATGAACGACACAATTTTTATGTTAAAGATAAAATACAAGCTAGGACTCACCCAGCCCGTCAGCTTGGCCCAGATCTGGAGAACATGCATTTAAATTAGCCTTTATCAAAATGCTCGGCTCACAGATACAATTGTGATGACAGTGTGTAGCATAATGGATCTTTAAGAGTGCTAGATTTTGACGTTCGATGAGTACAGCACTTAACATAATTACTATTTCGGATCTTTGCTGGTGAATTGTATTAACCAGTTGAGGGGAAAATGTTTAGGGGGACTATTTAGGAGTGGGTGTCTCAAAGGGCGGGTCCCATAGATCGAGAACCATTCAAAACTTGGGCTCTGAAGACATGACACTTCCGAATAAGTGAGCTTCCTGAAAAGTTATGAGTGGGATTTTGAACGTTTTATCGAAAAACAGAGGGGAATCCTTTTGTTAAGGAGCCATGTGCTTCATCGGGGGCTATGAATGAGGGAAAAGTGTGACAAATTCCATAGAAAAGAGAATTGATGGATCTCTCAAAGTTGCTTGCTGATGAATAATTTAAGACTTAAATTATTTAAAACTCGCCTTTAAATAAAGTTTGCTTTTTATATTCTTTCATGAAAAATGTTCCTGTCATTTCCCATGTAAGTGAGCATTTATAGCTACTGTCTTCTGCCTATGGTGACATCATGGTTTTATTTTATTTCGTTAGGAAATGGATAATATGCGGATGAAACCTAGAGAGGCCAAATCTAGAATATTATTATGCAAAAAGTAGATAACAATTTTATGATATTTTGTCAGGATTTTCTCTAAAGAAGGATGAATTTAATCATTTCTTCTCCTACTATCTTTCTTTAAATAGAGAGTGATGGGCTGGATTGCCTTCTAAATCTAAAGAAATAATAGCTAATGCAATTCTCCCGCTGAGAATGGATTTGGGGAACTTGCTTTTCTGCTGCTTCGGAAGAAGTTCTATACTTGCTCCCTGTTCAGCCTCTCTTCATCAGGATGCCTCTCAAGTAGACAGATGAGGAATTTGGAAATCAGAGACTGCCATGGATGTCTCCGATGTCACTTATGCCCAGCAAGGTGGGACCCAAGGTGGGACCCAGGTCTACCGTCTCTGTAACACCCCTCTTTCTCAGGCGAGTACTCGGGCTCCTGGAAGGCAGGGCACTCACACGAGGCTTCCTCCGAGCTCAGGTGGAGGGTCCACTCCTGTCGGGGACATGCCGAAAGGGTTCGTGAGTTATGAGAGACACAAACTGGCCATTACATCTGCCCCACGATTCTCGGATTCTGTGAATCTTAATGTATTCTGCTCAAATTAGATTCGTAAAAAAGTGGAGATCAAAAACCGCGATTTCCCAGCATCCCAAGCTTAAAGAAAAGCATACACAGTCAGTATGTAAGATACAGATCTGTTTTTTTTCTTGCCGATGAGATCATAGCGTAAGATGCAAATGTATAGTTTTTCTCGTAGATGAGTTATCTTCCTCTTTATTCTAGTATGATGTTTCCTTTGTCATATATTAATTTTTTAACTTTTTAGGCTAAATCTATTTTACCCATGATTTTATCTCTATGTCCTTGTCCCAGGAACTTTATCATTGTAATTGCCATATTTTGCAGTATTTCTTATATCTTACGAGATTACTACAACACTTCTTTTTATATTTTTAATGAGAATTAGATTTAGAAAATTTTTTGTGTTTATTTTTTTATGTAGACTGTAG